ACGTCTCCGCCACGCCGTTTAACTAAAGGACAAGATTATAAGAAACCCATAAAACGTAATCCGTCTAATAACAAACTTTCCCTAGAACGTCGTAAAAAGATTATGAATGAACTTAAGTATGCCAATGAGGAAAAGTTAGTACCAGCACCTTTAGAATCATGTAAAATCATACCACCTGTCTTAGGAGAAACTTCTGATAAGCATGCCGAGCTTTTAGTTAATGTAATACAGAGCGCAAATGCATTTCGACCGAATAATTTAACGAGTATCGAGTTGAACTACGACCCCTTAAAAGAAGATGGAAACGGATTAGAATCTGATTCAGATGATTCTGGGCATATTTCTAACGAACACACTGAACATTTCAGGGATCACACTATACATTCAACCTCTTCGTTATCGCCGATAAGCGTTTCGAGTGAATCGTATGATTCTCTAGAAGATGGCAATATTGTAGTTAGTAAATCTCCAAAAATTGTGGAATTATTAAAAAAGTTTGAAACAAAAACTCATCAACAATTGGCCATGAATGTGTGCACTGTTACTAGAACGCCCAAATCGAGAATTTGCACCACATATAAAGTAACGAATGTCCCGGCCGTTGAACTAGTACAGACGCACGTTGAAATTTATCCGAATTACACCAAAGAGGTAACTATATGGCTTCATCGAGACTGACCGAAAAATAAAAAAAAATAAAAATCTTGAAGCCAAGTGCTGTATATAGTATGTAGTTGGTGTAAATTGTAGTTGTAGACATTGGTAGTTTTAAAGCTGTGAAATATATCTATTTCTAATAACATAAAAAAAAAAAAAATATTTTAATAATTTTTCTTCCGTTTTTTTAAATACTACTCTTGGTTTTCTGCGCGCTTTCGATTTTTTATCTTTAAAAACCGAAAGTTTGCTTACATTTTATATATACATTCTTTACTAAACCTTCATTTTATCCAACTATGTATAACAATAAAAATAATAAATGACTGTTTCCTTTGGCTTTTATTTCTTAAATTCCTCCTTCAACACTTGCACAACATATTTAGACGTAATCTTTCGCTGTGTTTTCTATTAACACCTTTACTCTTATATTATATATAGTCTTCCGACTCACCTTTGCACAGTAAGCGTAGTATTTTGAAATTGTAAAATTTTGAACATACCTGTTGGGAGAGCACGATTAACGAGCAATCGTAAATTTTTCGCTTGATGTTTGTAAATGCTATTTGAGAAAGTTACATTCGGCTTGAGACGCCTCCTTGGTTTGTATTCTCCGTCATAATTTTTTTCACTTTTTAGCATAATATTTACGCTAACATTTAGCGGAACATGCGCATCAAGATGGGGATTAACACATAATAAATGGTATATGTCACCCAATTTGCTTGTTTTTGACATTACTTGGGAGACATCACGCCGAATTTTCTATGACAATTTCTGCTATAGTCAGTATTCCAATAGCAGATTATTGATAGAGGAGAAGATTTAGACTGTCGCATATTTTGCCTATTGTATGCTGATTACGCCTAGTTTAATTCCCGGCCAATAATACGTCCCGATTTTTTTTCTCAACCCTTGCTATTCTTTCAGCAGATAGACTAACATGGCGAAAACAACTCGCTGACAAAATGGGTAGCTTTATTTTATGGTTCCGAATACATATTCTGGACGTTTAGATATCTCACAGTGAACTTGGATATGTTAGATCAGTGGACGGTGTACAGTTCTCGATATCGAGTAAACGCAATAGCTATTGATTATGGGCTCGTTTTGATGGATAGAAATGTTATAAAACTCGGTGAGCTATTTTTCTCAATATTGAATGGAAAGCTTTTGATCTTAAAATTGCTGTCGAGTAAAGTATTCAAATTACGATGGAGCTTACTCGATCTCGACAACTATAAATCGGCAATAAAGCTAACATATGTTCTAGATCCAAAAAACAGAAGGGAAGTGGATGGAATTATATAGATAACATATGTTGGCGTTGACCACTATTGCATATATATTCTCCCTAAAATAATATCCGTAAAATTGGTGAATTAGAACAACGTAGTTGCAACAAACTGTTTTATACTTTCGTCAAATACTTGGACTATGTTTTGTATTAAGATGTGCTTTACTTTTTTTTAAGTTAGGATTTATTGTCCACCATGTGCGAAATCTGTCAGCTTTCTATCCTAACTTCAGCGACAGCGAGTATTTCAAAAACAGACAGTCATAGCTCATTTGATGACTATTTTTGCATAACGAGTTAAAAATAGCGCCAGTAAAACTTGATAAAGTCTTCAAATATTATTTATAACAATTGTTTAACATATAATAAGATGACAAAATGATTAGCCTTTTTTATCGTCACCTGGTAGCATTTTAACTGGGATTTACATAAAATTTCATGTCAGTCTCTGCGATATATCTTTTAAAGCTGCGCATTTTTCATGCTGACATTTTACGTAGGCAGTGTATGAAAATTTATCTCTTCTTGTTTCACTGCAATTGTTTTCTTTGCATGTTATATTTATCACATATATATATATATATATATTGCATTGATAAAGTAATTCTGCTCAATGAAGTGCTAATGTAAACCATATTTTTTTTATATTTCCACTATAAACGCTTCTTATATAATTTCGTTTCATTGGGCCCTGGTCCCGTCTTTTCCGTAAAATTGAATATACAATCAATTTGTACTAAACTTAATTAAACATTGTTCAAGCTTAACGTACATTTATTTTAAACTTAAAGCTGCTTTCTTTGCAAATGATTACAGATAATGTTCTCTTTTTTTAACTCTTTAAGAAGTTTGAGTCTTTTTAACGAAAAAAAAAAGCACGTATATAAAAGAGTTTTGCTCTATCTTATCTTCTACATGTGCTCTCTAGGAAGGCAATTTACATTTAACCATCACACAGCTATCTTTATGGAGGAAACGTTATCTCATGGTGCTAGTAAATTAAGTAACGAGAGCAGACTTGGCTTATTTAACATTACAAAAATGTTTCTGCTGTTCAATTACTATTAGACCCATTAGAAAATATTGCGGACTTTTAACTTAAAATTTTGCAAGCAAAATAAGAACTATTACTTTTACGTTCAAGAAAAAGGAAAAAATTTTTTATTCCATAGACCCTAGAATGAGTTAAACAAAGCAATTCGTCGAGACGGTTGAGAACGTGATAGTTAATTCGCGAGTGGTTCATTCACTTCCCCGTTTCAACGTATAAGCAACGTCAATTTCTCATTATCTTCATCCTGTTGCAGATCACAAAATCACGATATACCCATAATCTTCTAAAAGTCCAAGTTGTTTGGTCACAATTTTTTTTATCCATTTTCGTCAGGTTGTCTCTAATTGTGCCTCTAAAAACGTTCCCCTTTTCGTAGGTTGCGATCTAAAATTATGGTTTTCGATGTAGTCTTTCTGAAGCAGTGCTTTTGCCTGTATTCAGCTCCTTCAAACTGTTGTTTGTTCTAATTACAAATAGCATCATTAGTAAGATTTCTACTTGCTCCCCCCTCAATGTTTCCACAAACCAATCCTTGGGGCTTTTCAACGAAGTTAAGTTCAGTTTAAAAGTCGTTGAGTTGTCATAAAAAGAAAGCTGGCCGTAAGTATAGGCACTACTTTCATCTTAAGAAAAATCAAAAAAGAGAACAAAATTAACTTTCGATATTCTGTAATATTGAGCGAGGATGGCTGATTTCGTTTCGATTTTTGTACAGATGTTACAATGTCGCTCCATGCGTAACGATGAAGGTTTTTATTGTGGAAATGCTACAGTTTGGATAATAAATTTTTTTAACTTTTGGCAACAAAGTTTTGCTCGTACGGTGTACATTAACAAATGCGACCTATTTTCAATATCAACCTAGGTACAGAGACTTCTGCTAAATTTGAAACGAGTGTCTTAGCATTTACGACTAGAAGAATGTTTACCACACGCAGAGAGGCAGGCAGATAGACGGGTGAACAAACGGACAGAATTTGTGGCAAGGGTTTAACGTGGGTTCCTGCCTGTAAGGCTTAACCCCACGGTGGCCCAAACCACTTTTTAAGCTTACTACGCCCCCTGGCGAGTTAGACAATCCCCACAGAGTAGGGGCCTAAACAGCACCAGAGTCCAGATCAGTTTATTGTGTATGGAACAATAAACCCCACTCTGGTGAGTGGCGAGGGCCTAGCTGCACTCGATTGTTCCACTTTGGCTTGGAACTGCCAAACGGACAGCCGTGGCTAAATCGACTAAAGATTTCATAGTGAAGATTTCTTCCTCATATTGCAAGCGTTTCAACAAAATGAGTATACCTACGAGCTCTCGATGGTGGGTAGAAATAGTTAGTAATGCGCAATGATTTATTTTTACGATATTGTTGAAATGTTATTGCAATGTTTCTCTGAGTACAATAATATTCACATAGGTTTTCCTTTCTAGTTGTTTTCAAAAAAATAAAAGTGAATAGTAGGGTAACTGATAAACGCTAGAAAAAAGCACCTGCATGTAAAATACATTTACGCTTGCTTCACAGATAAATGTGTAGCGAAATTTGAATAAATTTTGAAAGCAAAATAGTTAGTAGGCTTTTATAAATGCATCGGACCAGCTTATTGACCAATTTTAAAATTATATCCGAGCTACATGTAATTCTTAGATACTGAAGAGTGACTGGCGCCAGAAATATTCAGCCGATTAGAAGAAAAAGTATTCCAAAACAGTCCCGACATACGCACCTTCGATTACGGCTTCTTTTCCCTATTCGCGTGGTTTTTGGTTTTCTGAATACTTTTTTTTTTGTCTTAAAAAAAAAGAATGCAGCGAAACGTTTAAGTAAATCGACAAACAACAATATGAATGAAATATAGTAGAGTTTCATTCGAATGAATTATGCACACATTCAATATCTCTGATACATATACATGGATCTAATTAACTGAATGCAAGTAATAATAAAATTAAAAAAAGTATGTTACAATAGTTTTTTTTTGCTTTTTGTTATTGCAGATCCTATTCCGTACTGGTATCTTAAGTGAATTGGAGGCAAAACGGGATGAATTACTTTCGGATCGCATAATACAATTGCAAGCGTTTTGTCGCGGTTATTTAGCACGCAAGTCAATGTCCCAAAGAAGAGTCCAGGTGAGAGTTCATTAAGCGAAAGCAAAGCAAAACAAAAAAGAAATATTAATAAGAAATATTTATATGCATACGCTTACACTTGTTTAAACTTTTACCCTTGTATGCGTACATCTACACATCCACAGGTAGTTACTAACATATTAAAAAGTATTAACGCACAGTTTTCACTTTTCTACCAACAAAATCAAACGCGGGTATAATCAAAAATTCCCAACACGTTTTTATATATCTACTATTGTCTTCACCATAATAAAATTGCAAATTTACTAAATTTTGCTAACGGGTTTTATAATTTAATATTAGAAAATCTAAGAAACAAAGTAGAGGCCACCTCTTAGTTTCTCTCTTCTTTATTTTTCCAATCTCTATAAGCTGCAGTTGTTATTAGTAAGTAAGAATATTATAGTCGAGCAAAAACGATTATTAAATAACCTACATTAATACGCTTACTGCAATTCTTCATTTATTTTCACGATAAAATGCCAAAAATTCAACGTTCCTTGCTTTCTATGCGAAAGCATACTTTCCATGGGAGCGTTTATTACAGGCTCGTGTACACAAATTATGATTTTTTATATCAAAATACCATTAACCATCAAAAGATTGGACCCTTGTCCTATATAAAGGCTTTCTTCTCATAATAACATGGATTCAAATATCATCTCATCCAAATTTTCCACTGCAGTCCATTTCAAATTTTGCATTTTTCTTCTTATAACGAACCACTTTTTTTTGGCGAACGATGTCGGATTTAATCTAATCTATTCTCAACAGACTTCACTGTTGGGCTATAATACGTCAGTGCATTAAATTTCGAAAATCGATTGAAGTTAAAAACACCCGCCCTGACTGAGCGTTACTTATATCCTTTAATTTATATCAGAGTGCCGTAATATTGTTCGATTATGTAGGTTATCGTACAATTCATAATAAAACCTGCCATATAATCGATGGGGCCGTTCTTTGCAAATTAAATTCATTAGCAATACGATCACATGAGCGACAAACAGTGTTTTTAACAAAGCACGATATTTGTGATTGCTTAAAGAAAGTTTACGATCCCTTTAAGCCGCCCGCCTAAAAAGATCCTCAAAGGGTATCTCGTAATGATGTAAATGCCGTTCACGGGCAACGTTGCCTTTGTTTTAATGAAAAATATGGCAGTCACGTCTACATTATTTGTATTTTAGGTCAAATCATAAAAAGAGTTGTTATCTATACTTTTTTCCACAAAATCGAACCATATGTCAAAACATTTTTCCCATTCACTCTGAGACTACTCTAAAACACGGTTTTTGAACGCACCGACGTTTTCCTCTACCAACAACAAATCTTGTCATTCACGCAATATATTCTTTACGTTCGGAAACAGAAAGAAAAACAAAGTGCCAAATGAAGAGTACGGTGAACGTTCATTAATTTGATTTTTTGTGTTTTTCAATAGGCAGTTGTTCGAAAAGATGTGTGAATGCTGGTACGGCCTTGATGAAAGAAGGGCGGGCAGCGCTTGTTTGTTTTCGCATTGGACCAAATGCATTCGGCAAACAAATGGTTATGTGCTATTCTGACATGACCATTTTAAGTTCCTCAAAAGGCATCTTGTCTACGTTACCGGTTCTTCCTAAAGAAGAGCCGCGTATTTATTTCGAAGTGCTTCGACTTTCGCAGCAACGCTGGTTTGATTTGGTTTATCTTGAAACACGATTTCAAAAAACTTCAATAGGGCTGCTGTTTACTTTTCAGCTCATATGCTTAGTTCCATAATTCGTCGCCTGTTAGAATCTTACATGTGTCTTTTGAAGTACCGCTTTTGTATTAAACATTTGAACACCTGCTTGAAAGTTTGTCAAATTACGCCGGATCCGACGAGAACAAATCTTTTCACTGCTAAATGATCATCTCATATATGTTAATGGAACTAAAATCTAAGATTGGTTGATTCCTATAGTATGTCACATATGGATCTTGTATTATCAATTTTGGTATAGCATCAACGTCGTATGCCACAAAAAGTGATTTTGGACGTCCTGAGAGTTAGATTGGGTATTGGTCGACGTTGCACTATAGTGATTTTATTTGCTTATTTATGTGTTGAAATCGAAGAGCAATTAAAACACGTCTTAAGCTATGAACACCTTTGGACAGCACTTTAAAAAGCCCCATCCCAAGGCAATGCAATAAAAAAAGAAAAAATAATAATAATATGCACCTTTTACTCGATCATTCTGTGCAATTTCGCCAATGACCTTTAAAAAGGTCTTCGGAAGTGTTTGTAATAAAATTTAACGTGACTATCTTTCACAGTAGCTCTCTTGTGTCTTTTAGTCGCGGTTTTAAGCTCATTATGGTTATAGGTATTAGGTTATTCTTATTTTTCTCTCTTCTTAAGTTACCGACCACCCGTGCTTCTAAAAAGGTTATTAGGCTGAAAGCCTTCGTTATGACAATGAGGAAAAAGTCTGGCTTTCTTCTTATTATTTCTGCACCCATTTAGCAGATCTCCCTAAATAGTGTTCATCAAACATGCCTAAATTAATGTCGATTAAAAAATTTTTAATTTGTTCATATTTTATCTCAGTTAAACGTAAGCGCATGTCTCTCTCTGGCTCTGTTCAAATTCCTTTTTTCTACAGATTAGATTAGTGTATAAATTCTTATCGATTCATTCTCTACTAGTCCCAACATTGACGACGTTAAATATTTAACGGAGAGATTGTGAAGTGTCGTTATCAATGGACAGTGATCAGAACTAGGATCATCATTGTCATAAATAAGAAGTAAATTGGTGAGAATACGCGGCTACATCGCAAAGATCGGCAAGTCAAGAGTTTTCCTTAGATCAGACTTTCAGTATTTGGCTCTCCAAGTACGTGAGAATGGTGCAGATGGATTCGCCGAGTTCCCTTGCTTTCGAATTTACTAGTCTAGATCCCCATTACTGATGTTTGACATCAAAGTCGCCTCCTCCAAAAACAAGTTTTGCACCTAATTGTCTGAAGAAACCGTTATAATCATCACATTTTAATGTAACGTAATGTAGGAAATTCGTTTGAACAGATTGCATTATCAGAAACGTTGCAATTCACTTTAATGCAAGAAGTCTTTCCTGCAGATGTTTGAAGTTAGTAGATTTTTCTACTATGCCAGGTATAACTTAAGTGCAACTCTTCTTGATTGAAGGAATAATTATTATTATGCTTATCCTGCGGTGATCTGCATGAGGGAGAGTTTCGACGTTTCTTTTTGAGAAGCTACTGGTATGTGAAACAATCCTGATAATTGGTCGGAGGACATTGCAAATAGTTAATCCATTTTGGAGGGATTTTAGTGCAGGATTTAGTTAAGTGATCCAAGCATTTGACTAGCTTTACGCAGTAACTTCTTGAGTTCTTGTGTTGTGGTCTTGACGTCGAGGATATTGGGGGATTCCTCTGGTTTTTAAAGGAGCTTCAACTTTAATGATAAATGATTAATACGATGACTTGTCTTATTATTCGTATTAGGTTCCCGATCTATATAAAGTGGATCTTTAACAAATCTACGACATACGGAGGAGACATTGCGCACTTTGACATCCAGATTTTCAACACCGGCTTTGATATCACCAATTGAAGTAGAATGGTGGAGGCTTCTTAGTCCCATTCTTCCTGCTGTGCTTAACCCGGTAGATGTGAAATTTAATTTTCTTGTCACACAAATAGTTTACTAAATTCTGTCAATATTTTAATTTCTTTCGTAGTCTTGTAATAGTTAATCTCATTGCAGCAATGACAGTTCAAAAACCCGCTATCATCTTTTCTTATGTCACGTATTAATTACACGCCAGGAATTACATTTCATGGTAGCCTTGAAGATATTGTAGTATTTCGTTACCACCATTATTATTGCTATCGGTAATCACATTATTTTCATCAGAGCTTACAATAGGAAATTGATTTGTAGAATTTGTCTCTATAGCTCTTGAACGAGCAGGAGATGGCGTAGAGTTATTATGTACACTTTGTGAAGATTGTACAGAACTTCTGTTATTATGAGTGTTACGAGACCTACGTTGCTTACGTTTGATCTGGCGAATTACCAACGGCAACTGTCCACCCATTGTATTATTACTTGGACTGGAACCTTCCAAAGCAAGCCGACACCATTCTGGAGAATTATTCATATCTTATTGTTATTACTATCGATATAACTGTTTGGGCAACGTTGTCAGACCCGGTACAATACAAAATGGTTGAGCATATCTTTTCAACTTTAATCATTTTCATTGTTAGAATGGAAAATTTTAATATGGCTCACACATATTCATCATTACTTCCGTACTATATTAAAACAATTAATAAAGATTACGCACAACTATCGTATTCGTATGCGTTATCGCTTTTTTTTTTTGGTCGTTTAAATATTAGAATCCTCCATAAACTTATTTTAGAATATTTTGACAGTATTGACAGCACACATTCACACGGGGACACAGACTACCTGCTAAAAGCACATGCCTAGATGTACTTTATGGGGTGTCTGGGGCTTCCTTTTGGGCGTTGCAAGCATTATGTCAAAATGAGTATGCCTCCATCGTTCGGTGTTAGATATAAGAGTTAGCATAATTGTGTCGTTAATGGATACAAAATTTACTACGACTTAGATTGCGCTAAACATCCGCTAAAACAATCTCACATCAAGTGAGTTTCGAAAACAATTCAAGTGATATTTAAGAACGGCGCACCCACAATATTGCGGTGAAGAGTATAAGAAACCCAAAGTAAGCAAAAGCCCTAGGACTTGTCCATTGCCATCATTTTCCATTGCCAGTATTCATTTTTCGTTTTATTGATATCCATAAAAAATAGAAAATCTACCAAGTTTCGCTAATGGCTTGGTAATTACGATAAGTAAGTAAGTAAAAAACCAAGAGATTAAATGCGATTTAAAGGCTTATGCTCATTCATTTGCCATCTACAATGTCCGCGAATAATAAATTAAGTTTAACGACAATAAACCTCTAATATCAATTTTAAGTTGCACTTGCCTTATACATCTTTTCTTGTTTTTACGAATAATATAATAAAATAATAATAAAATTTAAAAAAAAAAATCATTTTTAAGGAATTGGCAGTGCGCTGCATACAACGTAATGTCAAAGCTTTTATGACTGTTAGGGATTGGCCATGGTGGCGTCTGTTGGTGCGCGTAACGCCGCTACTTAATGTCCACCGCACCGAAGAGCAATTGAAAGCAGCCAACGAAGAATTAAATGCCTTACGAGCTAAATTAGAAAAAATCGAAAACGATCGCAACGAACTCAAGACTGAAAATCAAAAACTAGAATCTAAGGTGAGTCATTCATATCTACGCATAAATAAAAAATTTCGACTAATACAAATATATAACTAACACACATTTTGATTCATATTTTTTAGTTTGTTTTGATATAACGTCCAAAAAATAAGCCCACATGATGCAATATGGGAATAAAAAGTTGATTGATTAAAACTTATATAAAACTTATTTTCATTAACCGTCTGTTTCTAGTTACGTAAAGATAAACGTATACAAACGAAGCTCATTCCTTGGTTTATTAAACATGTACGTGATGTTTCTTTTTTAATGCTTGTCATGGAGAATAAGCATTAAATCGATCATATAATTCTTCGCTATTGAACTATGCCGTAAAGTCTTAGTAGTCTACTATAGACTCTATTCAATTACTATTATTGACCTCAACATTTTCCCTAAAAAACAAAAACTTCTAAGGCTCTCTTATCACTCTCTTTTCTAGTATTTAGTTTCTTCTTTAATATTTTGGTGGGTAACCATCAGCTGAACCGGAAAAGCCAAATATATTTTTCCTCATATTTAGCATTGGCTTACGATGCCGGCTTAATGTGAAGAGGCACCTTGCAGCTGAAGTCCCGAGGCACAATCTGAATGAACCTTACACTTTGACATAAAATATTGTGTGGTGAAGATAAGCAAACTTTGCGAATGTAACTTCACTAGATTTCATAGCTTTATTCCCACAGAAAGATGAAGAAGAAGATATTTTTGCATAATTTGCTTAGTAAAAGTAAAGAACGGAGAAGCCGGAAAAATCGGTTCTTAAATCGCCGTAACATAAAGTATTGAAGAATCTTTTTAAGTCCACTAAACCGACTTCAACTAACAAAAAGTGGACAAAAAAATTTCATTTGAATTAGTTTCTGCGAATTTACGCTAGAACACAGCGTACTTCTCGAGCGTCCGCGTAAAGCTCAAGTCTTTCGCAATAAAAGTTTATGGACTCCTTTAATGATATTAAGAAGGGCACGAAGAATGATGGGCGACATTCGAATGTTATTGAAATTGATTCAGATTGTCGAATAGTGTACATACTGTGCGAACGCCATAATCGAAACAACAGTAACGTTATGGCGGATGCGTCAGAAACAGACAGTATACAATACTTTTTAAACAGAACAAATTTTTGATCACCATACATTATCAGAGACTTTGTGAACGGATGTATTTGTCGTTTCAATGCATTATTTTCGAGCCACAAACTCCAAAGAGTCAATGCTTTGTAGACACGCTTATATTGCAAAAAAAGACTCAACATATCTAAGTGAATGTGACATGCTTTACCGAACCGAACAAGTTATCTGTAAAAGGAAATAATTTACATGAATGAGAGCGCTATCACTTATAGAATTTCTAACAAAACATGTAGGAACAACATAGGGAAAGCAAGTATAGCAGTGCGTAGCCTATATCATGGCAATTAATGCCAATGAGCGAAACGTACTTTTAACATTTCTATATACAGAAATAGATTTGAAAAATATCTGTTTGCATTACGCAAATATCGCGGCACATATTTAAAAAAATGCTTAAAATGCGTCTTTGCCGCAGTTCTTAACAAACTTTTCAGAAAGCTATCACTGCTGCGTGAATGTATTCACACCATTTATAGTGGTCTACTGACTTTCACTTAGAACAATCCAAAGAGTGCGTCAGAAGCCCTACAAATTGAGGTTGAAAAATATTCGCTCCACAAATCAATTATTCCCGCAAGGTGAAGACGACAGAATGGGCCGTGAAGGTTTCGGAAGAAAATGTTCATGGATATAATATATCTCACAATTGGTACAGACGACAAAGCAAAAATCATGACCTGTATTTGCAAGGATCGGAAGACCTTACATTACGAGCTCGCCAACGGCAACGTTGCAAACAATTGACAATTGCTCAAAGATATAAGGATAAGAATGGCGACGTACCAGCTCATCTGCCATGTTTTAAAAGCATTGCCCTTCCTGATTATCACTCTAAAGACGAGGTATTTGTTCGACACCTATGAAAGAGACAATGGATAACAATGGCCTCCTTTCTTACGAATAAACCTTCAGTTTATTATATTAAAAAAGATCACTTAAAATGTTTATTACACACCAAATGTAGGCAAAAGATTGAAACCATAACTTATGTCCAAATACACTTTCTTGCATTGTGTTCATGTTCGCGAAGTAGGTCGTCCCTTGATCTTTTGAATGGTTCGATTAATGAAAAGTGATTATAAAAACATATTTCTTATACGTCCCGCATATGCAGATTCTCTAACAGATCTATACACCATAAATACATTCTTATTAAGATATCATATAGTTTAATGAAAATGAAACAGTTTTAAGAAATTTCGTTATACATATCTATTATAAATATATTTTGAAATCAGTTTTTTTTTCTTTTGCTTTTGGCAACAACAAAGCGAAATTGATAATATTCGCAAAATGTACTGAAAGTGCCGGCATCTCGAAACTAGCAAGCAAACGTGCACATATGTGCGCTCGTAATGATAAAATATGCAAAGTTGTTTTGCATAAGCTTAAGCAACAACAACACAAGAGTTTTTTGCTTCTCACAGTGGACACGCACATAAACAGTAGCAAGCAATCTCTGAATTTGCTGAATGCGAGTGTTTGGGACAGTATATCACTCGATTCTCGATTACGCTATCCTATACAACCAGTCAGTCACTGTCGAGCAGTAGAAGAAGAAAATCTTCTAAGTGCTATAGTGCGCGTACAATACAAAAAAAAAAAAAAAAGAAAGAAAAGAAAAGAAAACGGAAACAACTCTCAATTCTTTCTAATCCATTTATATAAAAAAGAAATGCGAGACATTTTTGAGTATGATAATGAATGTTTCGCAGCTAAATAATTTCAATTATTGAGTAATCCGCTACCGACGCGAAAACTAAACGCGAAAGCTTGCCGAATGTGAAAAATTGTATCTTTTTATAAATGACACTTCGATAAATAATATACAATAAATATCTGGCATTGCAACAGTTTCATGAAATTGTCCTAACTATAAAATTTTATTTGATTCAATTGATTGGCGAAACTAGGAGGCTTTTAAGTGCATGTTTATTAATACCTTAAAAAACTACCAATATTGGCAACCAAATGTAATTAATCCGAATTCGTTTCCATGTCACCCGTACACAGTAATAAAAAAAATGAGACGCAACAGTGTGCAAACGCTGCAAGGCACATTGAACCCTTGATTAATAAAGAAAATTCTATAAACGTCAATGAAGAACAGAACCAAATCCCAGAACAAAAAGAAAAAGATACCAAATTTATAGAACGCGTACTTCTAGCAATGCATAGCTCGAAACCTACACCCCCATCGTCGTCAAACACACCAACAGTCGGAAAAACACTAATGCCAAAACCATCACCGTTGCCAAAACCTTTAAGCAGTGTCAATGTTGATAGCAGCGCCTCCCTCTTCTCGCAAAAAACTACAAACGCTTCTTCTGTTAAATCACTATCTGGTGTCGCATGTCCCCGACCCCCTGTTCCCCCTCAAGCGCAGAATCGCATACGTAAGCAGAACAAATTATTGCCTAAACAATCCGAACGTATTCCCACGCAAAAGTTAACCAACGAGGAATTATTACTCACAAAAACACGTAGCGTTAATTACGATTCCGATGACGGGTTACATGCATCTCTTAATATGCGTTCTATAAACTATTCAGAACTTGCAAGCAAAACCACAAGTTCAAGTAATGTCGCAACATCCTTTCTATACCCTATAGAAGCTTCGCTAAAACTTCCTCTTCCCAAATTAGATAAGTCAACAGGATCGCTACGCGGTAACGACTTAGATCTCAATAGCGTCCGAAATTTGCGTGTTCTACCTAGGTCACCCAGTCCATCATTGTCTCCACTAAGCACTATTTCGTCAAGAGCATCTTTGACTTCTTCAAGTGTTACCTCAACGATTTCGCGTCTACAAACGCCACCACGACGCGTGTTTCCTCAAACTTATACTTCTGGAAATCAGTCATCAACTTATGAAATTAAAAATCTTGAGCAATCGCCAGTAGTCTTCGATGCTAACTTATCGTTTGTTTTGGGTTGCAAACGCCAACCCGTTCGCCAATCCCTGAGACCTTCACCATCATTTGAGGACTCGCGCACTGCCTCAGCCCATCTTAGCGAGAAAATCCAAAATTTTCTTAGACGTACTGATCACGTCCAAGAAGAATGGACAGCTTTGGGTCGATGTAAACGCCGAACAGCGTCAACGTCCAATATTGGGAATTTGAATTCCAACTACTATGATGATTACGACACCATAAGTTTAATAGAACGCCAACGTGAACGCAATAGTCAAGAACGATGTATGGCACCAATTGGCAAATCTCGTTCTTCACAAAATATTTTGACTAAAGCTTTCCAACTTACAAAAACTTTACCTCGCACATCTACTTCGCGTTCGAATTCTTTAGCTAGAGATTGTTCAGAAACTGAAGACGATCGTACGATACAAGAAGAGGACGATAATATATCGGAAGAGGTATAACAAGCGATGTTATTTATTGTTGTCTCTGTTGTTGAGACTGCTTATAGTTAACTGTGTCAAGTTTATGCATATTATAGCACACTTGCAACTTTAGGTCTAAACAGTGTGTGGCACAGATTTCTTCTGTTTGGAATGTTACCATAAGATGTTATTTTTAGCTAAGAGCACAGACTGTGCCTCTGTATAAGTATTATTTATTGTGCGAAAGAAATTTTTGTTTACTTTTGATCGTGTCTAAATAATTTTTTTTTTTTTTGTTTATTTTCAAATTTAGTTATCTGAAATGGCCGTTGATTTGGCGGAGGAACGCTCAACGGCCAATATGGCTACCGAGCGCCTTGAAGCCGAAACTGTGGAACGTCTACGTTTAGAGAAAGAGTTGACGGAACAGCAAGCCAAAGTGAAAAGTTTGCAAGAATCGACAGAAAAATTAGAAATGGAGTTGATATGCGCACGGTCAGATTTAAATGGTATCTCTGAAGATGAAGATGCTGATAATGACGACGGTAACGTTGGCGGTGCTGGCGTCGGAGTTTATAAATTAAAATACGAACATGTGGCTCGTGAACTAGAATTTACTAAAAGGCGTTTACAAACGCAACACGAACACGATTTAGAGCAACTAGTTGGTTTAAAAAAACAATTGGAAAAAAAGGTATAAATTTTTTCCGTTTTTTCTTTCTTATTAACTTATTAAGTAATCCACTAATTACAGCTTGCCGATGCTTACGAAGAAGTTGAAGAACAGCGTCAAATTGTCGGTCAATGGAAACGTAAAGCTCAGAAAATGACAAATGAAATGAGCGACTTACGTATGCTGCTAGAAGAACAAAATGCTCGCAACAATCTATTAGAAAAGAAACAACGAAAATTTGATTCCGAGTGTCAGGTTTTGCAGGTAAAACAATCTTAATTACTTAATCATTAATATTGGAATTATAATGAAACAAACAAAATATTAATATATATCTATAGGATGGCGCCCGACAAGAACGACAGGCTAAAGAACGCTTATCACGTGAAAAGGATATATTGATAGCGGAGAAATTCACCTTAGAGCAATCATTAGCGGTATGTGATATATCATACATTCAGAAGTTTAGACGCATAGCGTTGTAAAATGTAAATATAAAGTAAATCGATCGCGTGGAATAGACGTTTGTCAACTTTCAATGTTCCTCACCAAATATTCCCGATCATCATAAAATTCTGAATATGTTGAAATATGCCTATCCGTTTGTTTGGCTGTGCAATGTCTATGGTAATGAATATCTGAATATTTCTGAAATGAAGATATTGGCTTCAAATTGGACAAGAATGTTGGAGGTTCTTGCACGCAGGTTGGTATTGAAAATGTCCCAAATTGAACCGCTGTACAAGGTAAAGCGAGAACACTTCGGTTTTGAAAACCAAAAAAAATATTGGTTTTTTGGTCCTTAATTGTTAACTACAACAGATGTAGTACATATTCAAAGATGTAAAATATCGGCCACGCCCATCCAATATTATAAAGTATTCAATCCTCATTCTCTCCTCAAAGACATTGAAACAGCATAAAAGAATCTACAAAGCCTCTTTAAAACAAATATTATTAAACTGTGAATCCATCCAGGCACGTTTGCCCCTCTGATTGTCCGTCTTCCGGTATGTCTGTTTATCCGCCTATAAACAACATACTGGACTCAAAGATGAAGATATCAAAACATAAAATTCGCCGAAGGTAAGGATTTAGTAGTTGCATCCAAATTGATATTGAAAATGTACTAAATTGGGTATTTGTCAATTGCTGATAAACTGCAATTATAAGTATTTGCGCATTTTATCTCAACATAAAAATAATGGGCATAATATTTTCGATAGCAGCCGAACACAATTTTCATAGTATTTTTTTTTTTTTTTTTTCGAAACGAATTTTCTCATATTCAAGAATCCGCTTCGACATAGATCTCAAAACATTCTCCGGAAATATATATGCACTATCCCAATGGCTCTATTTGCTTATAAGGGAGAAGAAAGAAAGATAACTATTTAAAAAAATATGTTATTAGATAGGGAACAACCTTCTGAGTTTCGGTTGCTGACAAATTTGCTATCCTATCCGCTGTCGAAATATCTTCTGCTCAGGGAAACGCAATTTTTTCATTTTATTACTATACCGTTGAAACGAAACAATGAAACGTATAAGGAAATAAAGCGAAAAGGAAGCTTTAAAGTAGTCAGCAAAGTGTCGATTTAGCAAGAGAACGAGAGAAAACAAACAAGAAAAGGAAACGGGGACGGAAACGTATTTACGGGGGGGACAACTAACAACAACCAAAGATTTGCCGATGCGTTTTACTCCGACTTCCAACCTACAGGTATAGAACTGCTGTGATTTTTTGAAAATAATGAAAAATTCTCTGGCAAACTTTGCAACGTTCTCTTTAAATGCAGAGGCTTCATTGCCAACAGCCTATTCCAGAAAAACGCAATCGTTAAATGGTATTGGCGGTGTGGCAGGGGTGCAATGACGCTATTGTCTTCGTTAAATAATAGTCCAATTTTTACCTGTGCTTATGCAATTTCACAGCTGACCGCTTTGTATTTACGTCGTAACAACAATGTAACGTAACAACAACAATGATAATAATGGGTAAGAATGGGCGCTTTGGCAGTCAAAATCTAGTAAGTAATCGGGCCAGTCTAAGAAGATAAGGTCGGAGCTTAAAAAAAAAGAAGAAAACACACGCTCTAGCTTAGCGCAAGTGATGTTTTTGCTGCTATCCCTAAATCTTCACATTAATATTTACTTATACATGCAGAGATTACCATATCTGGTGGTCTCTCCAAAACATACTTTATATTATTCTATCATAAATCTCAGTTATGTTAGCGACAATTTTTACGGTTGAAGATGGTGACGCAGAGGCGGACGAATTGTCTTTAGAGTCAGATGATTGCATTTATGTTTATCGTGGGGAGGAAGGATGTTTATATTTCTCTTGAAACCTTAACGAGGCAACACGACAGCTTTGGCCGTCAAAATACCAAAGAAAAATGTATAAGTACTGATTGGAAAACCGTTAAATAAGAAAGGTTAGAAATGTAGGGATATCCAATACTTTATTTTTCGGTATGAATTACGGACGTGTGTGACTAACTCTCGAACGTTTGCAGTGTAATTGATCTATTGCAGCAAACCCAAAACGACATATAACGTACATTGGAAAAGGAGAAAAGAAGACTGCAATTTGACGAAAATTCTCATATTTATCACTAGCTAAGCCGTAAAGATATTTGAATACCAGATTGTTCTCATTTTTTATATATTAAAACAAAATTTTCTTGTCTTCTATGGCGAGCCACACTCTCAGAAAACAAATGAACGATGATCTGTTGGATTGCGAACAGACAGGCGAGATTGTTGCTAGGTAGGAATAGCATAAGATGTTTTTATTTGTTTACAGTCAATCTCTTTAACGTTTTATAATAGGTACTAAGATGAGAGCGTGAGATGTGGGTTCAAATAGACCAGGAAATTCGGTCCTCTCGGTTTTGAATCCTACGACATATTGTATAAGGTTTATCCATGCCGCGCTTGCCTAGAAGTTATGCACGCTGTGGAGACTCACCTCCTCTAATGAATATACGAACACAATTCACAAATTAGCGCCCTTTTTATATCCTGCAAGACTTGTGGTACAAAGGCACGTCAACCTACAGGCGACCATGTTTGAGCCATTTTCATGAAATTTTGTACACTATCTGTGTAGCAGTGGTCCAGGGTACTAACTGTGCGCCACGGGCCACTATTGTATTGTTACTTGTGTTATATTGAAATTTCGGTTGTACTTAATAGATGTTGTTAAGAAATGTTAAGTCGAGACCCACTATATGTGATAAGTTGCAGTCTTTTTGATTATTGCGGATATGTAACTGAATCAACGGTAAATCTTATGCTATCAAGACAAGCTTATTCTGAACGTTAAAATCAGAATCGTCAGTCCAGTAGACCCGCGTGCATGGTTGGTTGTTAAAATTAAAGGAAAGAATTATTAAAACCAGATCTTATGTTTCGTAATTTTTAATGTGTTTCTTTGAATTTTCGTTTTCAACTTACTTTTTATGAAGTAGGAAATGGTTTGAATCAAACTTACACATCACACTTATTATGCTATGTAGTTACATATGTATAGGTGGTAACTACATACTTCTACGTAAATTTGGCTTGGCTTATGCACATAAAACATATATAACTGTGCGCACGCTCTGAAGTTGTTAGTAAACTATCAAACAGTAGTGGTCTGGTTTTATGATGCAACAGCCATTTGTATTGTTTACTTATATTTCAAGTATATAAAATTTTACACACGCACTTATTCAACATAAAATAGGCGTCCATTTACTTTTATATATACGTTGTTTACTTTTTAATGGTTGAATAAAGGTAGAAAATAATTTAATGCCATAACTTACCATATACATGCATGTATATACCTATCTGTTTACGCTGATATATATACGTTATATGTATACATATATGCATATATATGCATATATATGTATATATATACATATATATACATATATATACATATATATATATACATAGATATACATATATATATATACATAGATATACATATATATATACATAGATATACATATATATATATACATAGATATACACATATATACATACATAGATATACACATATATACATATATATACATATATATATATATACACAATATACATAGATATACACATATATACATATATATACATATATATATATATACATATATATACATATATATATTTAATCTATACACGCAGCAACTAACAATAGGGATTTCCATAGCAAATCAACTAAATGGTTTCTAAACCATGTTCATAAGCAAGCATGTTTTACCAGTACTGGTACTAGCATTAACGGTTAAATAGCGGATTGGATGTTGAATTCAAATATCAAAAAATAAATTATACAGTCAATCCTCCCCTAACGCGACTACTCTTACCGCGTTATATGGAAACCCTACACCGCGTCATATGGAAACCGCGTTTCAGATTGTCACGTTATATGGAAACAGCGCTATAAGAAATTCAAATTTAACTTGCAAACCAGGTTAATTCATGCCGCCTTATATGGAAACCGCGTCGAATGAAAACCGAAAGTAAGTAAATTCACATGTTAATCAATTTGGTTCGTTCCGGATTGTATGAGTTTGCATTCTCAGATCGTCAATTTACGGTGCAAACGCTTGCGCAAAAACTTTTACGGAGACTAAAACCAATATAATATATCTTAAGCACAATAAAGTTCGCTTTGTTTTCGTCGTAATCTGTCGAAAATCATATAGAAAAATCGGCGTGTGTAGTACATTTCGAAAATTTAAATGATCCCTTTGTGCAAACGTTCTATTAATGACATTTAGCTATTCCATTAGACTGGCAGAACACACGCAGTCGGGTCTTATTAATGTTCTTCATTACACAAAGAGTTGAAGAACGATTTATAATCAAGCCAACCAAGTTGATGGAATGTTGTTGAACGGAAACCGCGTTGTAAGAGTACCACGTTATAGGAGCGTGGTCGCAATTTTGGCTTCGCGTGGTAGGAGTGTTGATTGTATATAACTTAGATCGAGTTTGTTAATACTCAAAATAAGCTATCTTTTGTTAAGATGAGAAATGTTTATGTTTTGTATATGATACGTACAAATGTCTGTAGTGGCACCTCATACACGCAAATGAAATATCATATTTACATAAGTCCTCTGATATAAATACGATTTCTTGGTTACCGCGGGTGAAAACCTTCAGCCATTTTATTTGATTGACGCGTGGCTTTGCGAGCAACAATTTAAATTAAAGAAAAATAATCTCAGACAAAGAAAAATTCTTTGTTATTCGTCGACGTTCGGGATGAGCCGCGACCCAACGTAACGAATTTACTCAGAGATCAAGAGCAAAGATTTAGATTGAGAAACAGCGATGATGCGTTTAACAAACAAACATCTGTTTTAATTCCAGTTTCCTTATTTTAGGCTTTCAATTAATGGTTTATTAATTTTTGTTTAATTACAAT